CTTCTTAAAAAAATCTGAACGTGAATATTCGGACTTTTTACGGTACAGATTTTTTCTAGAGGCCCTTAAATACACAAATAAATTAAACTAGCGAGGAGAGGAGGCCAAGGATCGAGTCGAAGGTCATGGAATCCTTAGTAAAATTTCTTCTCCGTAAAAAAATCTGAACGCGAATATTTGAACTTTTCACGGTCTAGATTTTTTCTAAAAGTCCTCTAGAATTTAAATAAATTAAATTTGAGAGGAGAGAAGGCCAAGGATCGAGTCGAAGGACATGACATCCTTAGTAAAATTTCATCTTCTCCGTAAAAAAATCTGAACGCGAATATTTGAACCTTTCACGGTCTAGATTTTTTCTAGAGGTCCTCAAATACACAAATAATTTAAATTAGCGAGGAGAGGAGGCCAAGGATCGGAAAAAAGAACATTTAATCCTTAGTAAAATTTAGCATTTAAAGCATTTAAATAAATCGAATTAGCGAGGAGAGGAGGCCAAGGATCGAGTCGAAGGACATGACATCCTTAGTAAAATTTCATCTTCTCCGTAAAAAAATCTGAACACGAACGTCTGCTAAGTGTAGATGTCCTTTTTTCCGATCCTTGGCCTCCTCTCCTCGCTAATTTAATTTATTTGTGTATTTGAGAGCCTCTAGAAGAAATCTGGACCGTGAAAAATTCAGATATTCGCATTCAGATTTTTTTACGGAGAAGATGAAATTTTACTAAGGATTTCATGTCCTTCGACTCGCTCCTTAGCCTCCTCTCCTCTCAAATTTGATTTATTTTAATTATCGAGGGCCTCTAGAAACAATCTGGACTGTAAAAAGTCCAAATATTCACGTTTAGATTTGTTTACGTAGTCGATCAAATTTTACTAAGGATTCCATGTCCTTTGATTTGATCCTTGGCCTCCTCTCCTCTCCTCTCGAATTTGATTTATTTAAATTCTTGAGGGCCTCTAGAAAAAATCTAGACCGTGAAAAGTCCAAATATTCACGTTCAGATTTTTTTACGGAGTCGATCAAATTTCACGCCACTGCTTTCTTGCTGGCCGCTGTGTGCCTAGGCCGCTAGCTTCAGTGTCCGCTTTGTAACCCTCTTAGCATTGTTGTGTGCCCCACAACAAAAACAAGAAATAAAGCACTATTTTCAGCGGTTAATTTACACTTATAAAATCTCATGTATCTGCAGAGTATCTTCGGCAACTATCTTAAGTGATGCTTTTGATTACTTAGATAAACTTTCAAATGATTTATCTTGTTTTACTCAAGAAAAAAACGGTATTATAAAAGTCTACAAAGCTGATATGTTCATAGACGAAACTTAGTAGAATGGTCAATTGTATCATCGTTGTATTTGATAAAAATTACAGGTCCGTATTTGAAAAAATAGAGTTGAAGGTGGTCCTGGAATTACGAAACATCCTTTATAACAAAAACTGACTTTTTTTTATATCTTTTACTTATAATAACTATGAGCCTTAAAAACAAAAATTAGCTTTTTGGGATTTTGTCTAATATCTCCGGAACTAACTGGAAAATCTAGAACTTTTATGGACAATTGAATTATCCATTAAAATATGAAACTTTTTCACCATTTAACCGACATTATATATCATGCGGTTTACGCAAATTCAATCCGGACCAACTTGTATAATTTGGTGAATTTTTATATTTTTTAAATTAAAACCCAAGACAGCACAACTTGAATTATCTTGTTCATCATGCGATTTCAAACTAACGCCATAATTATGTTGTTTTTTTTTGTGAATATTATATAAATATAAAATAACCAATTTTTTTATATTTTGCTATTTTAAATCAAGTTAACACACAATTCTCTTATTTATCATGCGATTTCAATGAAACTAACTCCATAATTTTGTGTATTTTTTGTATAATTTATGAAAAAATAAACACTGAGATGTTATGGCGTATGTTGTTCCGCCTCCATTTGGAGGGCACAGGGAGCATGAAATTCGAAGCCTTGATGGCTAATAAAATTAACTAAATATTAAACAAATTCACTTTTTATTAAAATAAAAAAAATTCAATGGTTCCTATATTGTTTGCTGAAATGTTCTTTTCAATTTATTAAATTATAATTGTTTAATTTAAAAACTTGTGAAAAGGACATTTTTTATTGGTTACTAAGGATATATAGAGGCTATTTTTTACCGTAAAAAAGTAATTTTTATTCCACCCTGCGTGTTTAAAAGTAACTTCAGTTTTACCTTAACAAAGCCTTCAAGTTTTTTATTTCCAACGAAATAGTAATAGGCAGGTGTGTATTTTATCGGCAATTATTTTGTCTAGGAACACAAGAACCTAGTTTTTAAATTTTTAAATAAATGTATAAGCGCTCTCGAATTCAGATGGCTAGAAAAAAATGCATTTAAACGTTAAACGTCCAATTTACATTCAACTTGATTACATAATAGTATTCTGTCTATTTTTAGATTGGTTACAAACTAACGTACATAAAACTCGTTTGATCGCCGCTCCGGCCTTGTTGAGTGGTTGGTACCTAATTTGCAGACGATGAGCCATTATTATCAAATTTTAATAATACTCGGTTGTTAATTTTTTTTCTCCCACATCCAAGAGAAATAACAGAAAAATAATGTCACATTTTGTATTTTATGTACTTGATACGAATTCTATATAAAACAGGGGTTTCGCTTAATAATTAAATATAAGTATTTAATTTTTGTTTTTATTTACAATAATATATACAGGGTGAACCAATTATTTGCACTCGGAGCATAGCAGCATACCAAGAATTCCGAAGTACTTTTGGGACTTACAACTTAAACATTTAAAAAAAGATGATACGATATATCCATAGATAACAGGAGTTGTAACTACTAACAAAATCCTCTCTTACCTCTCATCTGTCGTCTCCTCACCGTGGACCTACAAGTAGAGCGTATTGATTGTCGAATTAATCTTGGCATCGAGAATATTATATTTTATCAATGAATGGTTAGATCTGGATATATCTGGATCTGGATATATCGGACCAGGACCACGTTAATATCTCTTTTATGAAGCTATTTGGATCAAATTTGGGACAAACCTACTAGACATAATTTCGAATTGATATTTATACTTAAGTAAACAAAATGGCCGACTTCCGGTTTTACCGGAAGTGTTCATTCATTTTTATTTTTTTTTAAATTTATGAATATTTTAAGTTTTTTGGAATCTACAGTTCAAATTACACACATGAAAATGTTTAATTTTTCCCAATTTTTTTTTCGAACCGTTTTTTTTGCTCTGATCTCATTGTCACCCGGTATAACAATGTAATACAACGAAACTAACTTGTTTCAAAATGAAGCAAATACGTTATAAAATAAAGTCAATTTATAATAGTGTAATTTGATTTGAAATTTTATTTGTACAAATCTAACGTGTGAATATAAGGCTTCAGGTAAAAGAACGGCTGTTTCGCATAAAAATTTCTATTACCTAATATAAAGAACCTTCGGACAAAAGTCATTAATATTAAAACCTCAGATAAACAAGAGAAATGTAGATAAGTGACGGACGCCGTTTAATATAGGCTTTGTTTGACAGTTGTGATCTCCATGGGCGTATCAAATAGTTTTTTATCAGGATCTAAAGAATCGTTTTGTAAATATTTTGTCAAGGACAAATTTAAAGCACAATGCGGCAATCGTTATCGTTTTTCAAAGTCATGGTATGTACATAGAGATGGACAGAGTCATTTATTACCAGTGGCGTGTGGTGACATTTTTGGAAGGGGAAGCGATTGTATAAAAATACAGCAGGCCAGTAAGCACAGCGCTGCAGGTGAAAATTTTTCGCGGCGCATTCATAATTTTGTCAAAATCTTGCTTTTTTCCTCAGTACGACGGATATTCGAGATTGAGATTTTTGAAGTGTTACTATTACTTTATTACCTAGTTTAGTACTAGAAGCTATAAAAAAACTTACCATTGAAAAGCTTCCTTGGTTTATTTAAACGTAAAAAAAAACAGTTAACTGAAGGAATTTCCAGCATTTTTCGCACAGTTGACACATCAGTTGACATTTATTTATACTTAAGATCTATTCCCCTATCCTCAATGGCTGCAAATTTGTCTATAACATCGTCGTAAAATTTTGGATTTTCTGATAACTGTTTAACAAGCTGTTTTTCAATGGATATTAGGGATAAATTAGAGAGTCTGTCTTCACTTGTTGAATTTCGTATAAAACTTTTAATGCGCTTTAAAGCTGAAAAACTTCGCCCAACTGACGCACTTGTGGCTGGGATGGTTAGTACTAATTCACACAACTTGATGACTTCACAAATGGGCTTATTTAAACCAGTTGTTATAAGAAAATTTAACACATTGATGGGCGTCTTTTTATCACTAATTTCAGTTGTTTCATAAACAACACTTAACTGGGACTTTAACGCTGGAATATCGAAAAAATTTCCATAATTTAATTTTAGTGAATTAAAAGCTTCCGATGGAAATTTCGATGAATCGTAGTTACTAATATTAAAATTGCACAATTCAACAAACTTTAATTCGTTAAAGTTTTGAAATCGAGAGTTCATTTGTTGTAAAATATTATCAAAAATTTCGGCGTATAATCGATAATAGGAGGTCTCTCTGTCGCCGACATTATCAATTCTAATGTTTTGAGTATTATTTTAAAAGTGTTCAAACTGATCTCGTTTTTTATTCATTTTATTTTTAAAATCATCAATTTGTTTAATGCAAAAGCCAATGTTATTTGACTTTGTAAAATGTCGAATAAAATGTCAGTAAAGGGGAAAATCTCTGCAAACATTTTGAGCAAAAAATTGAAATCAAAGTTTTGTTTGAGCCAATGCAAATACCCTTTAGCGGCAGTAACAGTTTCAGCATCCCATGTTTCTTTATTATCCCAAACGTCTTGAAAAAAGTGTATCAAAGAATCATGGCCAGCCATTACGGCAGCACCATTGTAGCTCTGGGCAACAAGCTTAGAACGACATTCTTAACTTGAAATAATGCCACAAACAATTTTAAACAATGCATCTGCAGTTCGTTCGCTAGTGACATCCAAAAATCCTAAGAATCGCTCTTGAGGAATGCCATCCAATACATATCGCACAACAATGGATATTTGACTTAACTTTGCTACATCTGTGGTATCATCAAGCGCAATTGATACGAAAGGTGCTTTTTTAATTTCACTTTTAATGTGATCCATCAGAACGTCGGCAGTGCATTTAATTAAATAATTTTGGATTCTGTTTGAGGTACCTCGAAAAGTTGTCGTATCAAAAAAATGATTTTTTAGGGTATCATCGTATTTTGCTAAAAAACTTAGAAGGTCCATGTAATTTCCTTGATTGGCGGATCCACTTGCTTCATTGTGACCCCTAAAACGTAGTTCATGCTCTCCCAGGAAACAAGTTACATCTATTAATCGTTGTAAAACGTTCCTAGTTTTTTTACCCTTTCATTGTGAATTTTGTTGCTTATTTTTAAATGATTGTCCAAACTATGTTCAATGCGATAGGTCCCGAATGTTTTTTCTTTAATTGTAGCACTTATATGAGATTTGCTATTTACGTCGTTTTACACTTTTGTAAAAATTATTTAAGTCTGTAATACCGACTGAGTTCCAATGTGTCTTTTCGGCTATATTAAAAAGTAGACAAGGCCAGCAAAACAATTTCTTCAAAGTTCTGCAGCCGGTTAATCATTCATACTTTTCATAAAACCCTACATGAAAATGCTTGGTAAATTTCTTTGCTAACTTTTCTACTTTTTTAAATTGATAGGATCCTTTAGTCTAATAGCATTAATAATGTCTGTTTTCTCTTCAAAATTTCTACTTGAAAATCCTTTTTTCAATAAAGAGCACCCAATACAGACACACTTTACCACATTATTATTGTTCACAGGCACAGTACATAGTTCCTAAATTTTACAAAAAGAAAAACAACTACGAGAAACAAACCGAAATATATCTGAAGTCTACTACGATTTTCCTCACACGTCGATTCGCTGCCTCTCGACCGTATTTCACGTGTACAAACAGATTGAGTACTATCGCGCCAAAGCAGGGTCAATAACACGAAGCGAAATCAATTGGAAGATGAGCCGGCTTTTTTAAGACGCGCTTCCGCCGACGGACTCCAAGTATAGGGCGTGTGCGTTTACACAATTAATTTGCTCATGGGTGGTGCGTCCGTTTACACATTACACCAATAAATTGTTAGTACATTTACGAAGTTTACGTAATGTTTCAGAGAAAATATAGTACCTAATTTAATATTAATTTCTATGCATTGTAAACTGAAAAATATTTATTTTTAAATCTCAAAGTGTAGGGAAGCGATGCTTCCCCCGTTTCCATGGACCGCACGCCTCTGTTTATTACGGTTTTGTCTTATTTGTTACGTTTCAGTAAATTACGTATTAGGTACATTGCTAGACAATAATGGCTTTTTCCGAACAAATACAGCGTTTTGCTGTACGAGATCAAATGCCGAATAGACTTTAAAAATCTTATACAATACAGCTAAATGTTGTACCTAATATGGTCACCCTAGTGTATATAAGCCAGAAAAAGAAAAAAAAGATACTTAACACGATTTAATGTGAAAACTTCACGATTTTGATTACACCTAGCAAAAAGAAATTGCAAGAAACTTGTTAGGGTTGTTTTTTTTTTTTAATACAAGTACATAAACAAACATAATTAACAAAAATACAATATTTGACGACTTGTTTTGCCAACTTTGGAGCATCCCTGACAATGCCATTCGCAAAACTGTTTTACTGGATGCCTGCGTGCAACAATTCCCTTCAGTGGCGCATCGCTTTTCGTCGTCTGATTTACATATGGATGAGCAATCAATATAAATAAAATATATCAGGAAAGATACGCATTTTAATTCGAAATTTAGAAATACAAAACATAAACAAAGACAATTTTTTTCAATTTTCCAAGAAATTTGTTTTCACGATATCTTCCTAATTCGTTATTAGTACAGTGAAAATATTGTCGAACAGCCGTCATATCTATAATAGTCGAGTTGTATTTTCACTTGTTTTTCTCATTCTTTCAAACCGACCACGATGAAGATTAGACACGTTTTATTAAATCGAACAAAAATATTGCAGTGTAATTTAAAGCTACGAGAGCAATTTTAAACTTAAATATTTGTATTAATATTTCACTTATATAAATATAGAAATCTTTGTAATATTGCATTTACTAAATTAAATATCTACAGAGTGTTTTATAAGTATAATTTTTTTAATAAGTACTTCTTTATTAGGAAAGCAAATTGTGATATATCCAAAAAATTTAAGTCCTTAAGTAGCTTTTCCTTTTTTGTCTTTTAGAAATTCGAAGTACGTTCCGGTTTCTAGAAAAAACACACTCAATCAAAACCACAAGTAATATTTATTTCAATAAATTGTTGTCGCGACTAATTTCGGTCTACAAGGTCATTCTCAGACCTACAATACGAAAATACAGGAGTTGTAGATGACAAACAAATAATAATTAAACATTTTATTTACATAAATAGATATGTCTATCTTGGAGCCACATCAAATCCTACACTTTCTTGAGAAAATTGGATTGGAAGGGTCATTATATACGTCGGGACTATTCCCTTGCTTTCCTAGCGACTTAAGCGGGAACAATAGATATTTTAACACCCCATACATAAATAACATACACATATAAATAATAATATAAATACATATATAAATAATATAGTAGTCCAAATCGACCAGATCAGGAAACAGGTAAGTACAAAATTATTGAAAATATTAAGGAATAGAGAAGTAAGCATTAAATATACGAAACAACTTTAATTAAAAACGCGTGAAAAAGCCTAGTGATACAATATTAAAAGAAGGCAGAGAAGTAGGAATTGATCGATTCCAGAACTTCGTTCTAACGATATTTGAAAGTTGAAGAGTAAAATTCTAAGTGGTAGAGATCGTCTACTAAAAGTACTAGACAAGGTTTCTCATTCGTATTGAAAATACAATGGGAAAAGTCAAAAAACAGCAAAGACAGCGCCAATGCATCTTAGGAATATAATTGATAGGGTCTTCCACTTTACATCAACATGTTTATTAAGAAAAGAATTGAAAATAGATGGTGAAAAAATGTTTTTTCAAAGCAAGTGGGCACTGTTAATGAAATAGTTACAAATATTAAGTATATTGTATTGATCAGAGTCGGCTTACGGTGGTTCACGACATTATTGTAGTATTTATTATTTAGTAATATCCAAATTTATATATTTATGTAACTAAAAAATTTAACTATTATTTGTTTAGCTATTATTTGCCTAGTCGCGACAAAAATTTATCGAAATAAATACCTATTGTAGTATTGATTTAGTATTTTTTCTTACTTCATTTTAATTTAATTTATTTTTTAAACGAAGAATTTGTGTATTGGTTACACTTTCCAAATACTCAACAAACAAATCATCAGTGCTCGATAAAAGTTATTGGTAAAGTGAAATTATCGGAACGTACTTACTGGAAAAAAATATCCGGAGGCGACCGTTTTACTCGAATCTCGAAAAAATGTCGTTAACTATTTAGAAAACAGGTTTCTGACTCAACCGGTAAGGAATTCTCGTTTTCATAATGGCTTTTGGAAATGCATTTACGTTGTGATTGTGTGATTATTACCGGAGGAAAATGTCAGTCGAAGTAAATACGAACGATAAGATGTTATTTTTGTGTGTTTTGGCGTTTTGGTATCGGAATAAAAATGTAGTTTCAGCGATTTCAGTGCTGATAAAAATAAGTGGAATTTCAAATTTTTAAAATAGCGTGTTGGAACGAATCAACAGTCAACATGTTATTTTCATAATACCGATACCCTAATTCTAATAGGACTTAAAATATTTAACATTTAATCATTAGGAAACCAAAAAGAGTGATAAGGCAATCAATGCCAATAATTCTAGAATTTTCGATGATGTTGCAAATGCAGTCAATAATATTGAAAAAGCGATAAAAAATAGTTTTTCTACAAATCAATAAAAAATAGTTTTTTGACGATATACTTAATTTTAAGCTTCGAATCTTCAGCAAACAAAAACATTTCTTTTAATTTTCCATTAACTCTTTCTATTACATTTCTACCCCTTCTCAGATAAATATTAAATCTACCCTCCCGAACTGTTGTCATCAGCAATATTAGCTGGTTATTGTACAAGTTGCCAAGGTGCAAGGTACTAATGGATATTCCTAATCTTTTACTAGTAAAAGTAACTTACTCTCTACGTATTTCCCTTTGATTTACGTCATAAACAGAAGCATTGTACTGTAAAAGCTAAGAACACATCAAGCAATCGCGGTTCCATCGCACGCGGTCTGTTAGTCTCGATTGCACGAGGTCTTCTGAGATTCTATGGAAAAGATAGAAGGAGAACGCGATGCGAGCGAGAACACCAAGTGAAAATGCATGCGTTATAAAATATGGGAAAGAAATTCAGCGCGCGCGCGCGCTCGTTAGAGACTAGCACAAATCGCGATGCGACAGGACCACGATTGCCTAATGCGTTCTCACCTCATTATATATTTTTCAAATTATTTTTAACGGCAACGATATATCTTGGAAGTTTGGAATTTATAGTTATAACTGAAGTTATAATTTTAATCAAATATCCCCATACAGAATGCAAAATTGAAAAGGAGACGGTTATTTTTATGACCTAGGGTTAATTTTAAATAGATTTTTACAGACTAGCATTTACAATAAAAATAATAAACATTGTACACAGCGACATCTTTGTTTGTGTCTATATATCGCAATACTTTTTCATGATATTTGCGAAAGCGCTACTCCTTACTTCGCTACTAGAATGCACTCTGAAACGTTCTCGTAACCTTGCTTTGGCTTTATACAACCGTGATGTGCAACCAGACCTCAGTTCCCAACAGCTCTCCCAAATGTGTTTCATTTAATTACATGTGTTCAGACGTAAAGAGACCGTTTTCGGTCGCTTGCTGCTGTCTCCTGTCACTGTCTCGCCTTCCCAAATGGTACCTTAAGTCCATTTTAATTTATCTCAATTTTTTTTCTGTGACGGTATCTATATAACACACATTTGTCAATTTGAAATTCTACATACAATTGTAATAAATTACTGTTACTGTTTTTGGGGTCTCCTCTATATTTTATATCAGTGAAAAGTAATGGTCTGGCCTCGACATCAGCAAGGGCAGTTTCTATCGGGCTTAGTCGTGTTTCAACTAATTTTATAATTTTTGCATATAACTTTAATATCTTTCTCATTTATCGTTATTTGTTTTCATTGATTAGGTTTGAATTTTCAAATTTCCCGCCACTATCAAGTTTATATTTAAAAATCATTTGTCAATCTTTCCAACTAGCAATTTTTAATTTCTTAAGTTGGCAGAATTCTTGACTTTCTGTTAATGTCAGTTCACCTACATTTGTCATTTGCTGTTCACTGGTAAAATGTGGTCCTTCTCCTCTCGGGGAAATAGAAAAATTAACGATTTATTTTACTAATTCACTTCGAGTAAGAATCCCAACGATCAAGTCGGTGAAGAACCATAAAACTCTTTAAACTTTTTTCACCGTTTAATCGTCGTCCTGATGGGAACACGTGAAGAATTTCAAACTTCAAAATCTTTATTCTATTTTAACTTTCCCATTTAACTGCTAATTAATTTTTCAAGTATGCGATGTTACCCATTTCTTCTATTTCTGACAAGTTAGTTGTTAAGTTTGCTGGAACTGTTAACTCTCTTTTAGTCTCGATGGTTGCTTGATAGCTCAAAGTACTCGACAAATTTTATTTAAATATAAGCCACGAATTATCTTATATATTTCTAACCCTTCGCACATTGTAAATACGATTTTTATTTCATCTCAACCTTTTATTAAAATGAGTATGTTAGGAAGACTCTGATGATGGATTTTTAACTGAAAGCATTCATCATAATTCTGTTAAAGTAATTATACACACTCGTCCATTTCATTTACATGTTTATTACCTAGTGATTACAGTAGTTAAGTACTAATGGTTTGATTTGTAACCTACAACTGAATCGAGTGACATTTTACAGGTCCCAAATCACAAGAGTCCACAACCACTTCAGTTATTAGAAGGCGGATCTATCTTCGAAGTCCCACAGACCCTGCACTTCAGTTATTAGAAGGCGGATCTATCTTCGAAGTCCCACAGACCTGCTTGATCACCAGACATCATTCCCTTACACTATTTCGTATAAAGCTACGTTAAATATCAGATAAAACGGTCCTGGACTCTATAGACGAACTTCGTCGACATATTATCGACGTTTGTGTGGGAATAACCCATGAGACGTTTCATAAATATAGGGAAGAATTTACACAAAGGATGTTTTTCATATTTATAAATACTTGTTATATGAGTAGAACGCAGATTCTAACAAAAATACAAGCTAATTATAATCATTAAGACGCGTAATATCTAATTTGAGACTGGAGTAATCAACTTATCTCAAAAACAGGGGGTGATAAAAAAATATCTTATGGATAAGGTACCGGATCTCACCTTGGACCTCGATTGCATTAGAACACGTTCTGAACATTCCTTTTTTACCTCCTTTTCTTTACAAATCTGGTGTTTATAAAATTTATTGTTCCTCTTGCAATGCAGTTTATACTGGCCAGACTGGCCGGCGAAAATTCACATTAATTAATAAATATAAAGACACCGATATTGTAACTGCTTTTGCCCTGGCAAATCATGTGTTCACCGAAAAACATTCTTCGTCTATTATGAACTCGAGTTTATTGCGCTTTTGCACAAAAGTCATTCGTATGGATCTACTTGAATATTCTCAAATTAATAACATCAATATTGTTGTTGTCGGTTTAGTCAAAGTATATTAACCGTTGAGTAGCGACATAAAGCGTCGGTGCCTTTGATCTTGGGTGATGCACATTTTCTTTCTCTCTCTTTTGACGTTATTGACGGAACGACACAGTAAAACACTGCTCGAATTATGAACTGGTATTGAATGTGATGTTTACACTGCTCGACGTAATTTGAAGTAAAACTCTTTTGTACTTTACATTTATAATAAAGGTTTGGTCATTAGGCAGTTTTCTATTTATGAGTATTTAACTTATGTAGTAAATATAAAAATATATATCACTTATAGCACATGCATTTCCTGGCATAATGAAAAACCCACAAAACCCCAAAAAATCTTAACAAAAACACAATAAAAGAGCACTAATAAATCCACAACAACGAATTCCTATATCAGCTGCTGGACTAAAGTGAAAGGGGTTGTTTACATCTTTAGAAGACGTCTCGCCTCTCTATTTCGCGTCGGCGCACTAGAATTCGGTTCCCCAGCTGTCGCTACTCAAGTTTAGTCGTTTTAACCTGTCAGATTAAAACAAGAAAACAGACAAAGTCGAAGCAGAAGAGGATGATTAGAACGCACCTATTAAAAATACTGCGCCAAGATGTAGGCAACACGAAATAAGGCATCAAAATGGCGGAGTTTTCTATCTCCTTTTAAGAGGCACTCAGGAAGCTGCGCAGTGCGACCATTCTCCGTATAGTAAGAGAAAATCAAAGTATGTGATCCATTGGAAATCCTGAAGTGTCGTTTCCACATACTTTGATTACTATACGAGGCAAGAGAGAGGTCCTACACGCCCAACATAGGGCGCGGCCATTTTGAACCCTGTGACACAGTTTACAGCTAAATAATCAGATCGCTCACTCTGCGTCGGCACTTTTGATCTCAATGTTTCAGTTGCAAGTGCAACTCGGATAATACAATATATGACAACCGCCTATAATAAAACAGCAGTCTTCTGCGTATCCTGAATTTGTATTCCTGGAGTGGATGTTATTTTGGAACTTTCAACTGGTCCGAGTGAGCTAACTGATTCTTTAGCAATAAACTGTGACTTCAAAAATAATATTCACTGACACTGACAGCAGCAAGCAAAATATCAGGTGCGTTTTAATCATCCGCTTCTGCTTCCGGAATTGTCGGTTTAGTCGTTTTAACCTGTCAGATTAAAACAAGAAAACCGACAATTCCGAAGCAGAAGCGGATGATTAAAACGCACCTATTAAAAATATTGCGCCAAGATGTAGGCAACACGTAATAAGGGTTCAAAATGGCGGAGTTTTCTATCTCCTTTTAAAAGGCACTCAGAAAGCTGCGCAGTGCGACCATTCTCCGTATAGTTAAAGAAAATCAAAGTATGTGGTCGTTTCCCCTCTGTTACAAGTGACATTGACAGCGACATATCTGACAGTTTTCTTTTTTCCTTACTTCTTCTTTCCCTTCTCCTTTGGAAGTCCTAACTTATCGAAACAATTCAATTAATTTTAATATTCGAATATTCACTTTAATTTTTATCTATTTTATTATATTCACCCATTCTGTTACAGTTTGGTCATTAGATTAAGATTAAGTTAATCATTTCGTTTTGTTTTAGTATTTCTATAGTTGTTTAGACCTATCAAGTTAAAAAAAAAATTGGAAAAATTTCAATATGACATTGCGCATGCTCGTGTCAAATGTGCCATCTTATCTTGCGGTCCAGATCACTGATCTGTGTCCAGATCTATCTGCTTGTGCGTTGTGAATTTTGTAAGCTATCTTAGTTTTTACCAAGTTCCACTGTTGGTTTGTTTACGTACATTAAACAATTTTCTAACATCTTTATTAGTGATAATCCTACAGGGTGAAAGAAATCAGACACCCTCTTGACCAGGGAGTGGACTGGGTTTGTTGGTTCACCATTCTTTGGTCCATTGGATGGATCGACAAACAGGGAGCAGTTGGTTCCCCAAAAATCTTCATAATTTGAATTGCAGCTGCAGTCCAACACCCTTTGCTGCCTTTTATCACGTTTTGGATTAACTTCCTTACCACATATTCTTTCGGTTGGCTTGAGAGCACTCTCCGTCATTCCTGTTCTACCCGTTTCGAACCAGTTACAAGTTGTAACTTTAACCACTTGAATGTAGTTTTTATTCATTCTAAAAAAATGTTACCATATTTTTCTATTAGTTTCGTTCCCACCTAATTTTCACACACATTAAGTATATTGTATTTGCACAATAATTAATTTCTCCCACCGATGGTGTATTGAGTAGTTCAATTTTGATACTTACCAGCGGTTGTATAAACATTAATACATCGGTTTTTAAAGGTTCGTAATATTTCTCTCGTTCCCTTATGCCTGAAGATGGCCTTTGTCCCAAAACCGGTTGCCATGTAATTTTAATGAATATTGAACAAAATTGTGTGGGATAGATTTCTTAACATGTCTTTAAATGGTTATTTTGACTTTTATTTATGCCATACAAAAACATTTTTTACTCTAAAAAAAATCGATATCAACTTAATTTTTTCAGAACAACAATAAATTATCGTTCATTAGGTTTGCTTGCAAAAAAAGGGAATACACGGAGAAACCACACTACAATGTAGTAAAAATACCTGTGACTGAAATTGGATGTTCGATTAAAATGGAAAAAATACATGAAGAACAAAAAAGGAAAAAAAAATTAAATCTAAAAAAAAATGTAATTATTGGGACAAAAATCAAAACTTTCTGTGTATAAAGTTATGTTAAACCATCAGTTCAACTCTATGGAATCCATCAGGTCTATGGATGTGAAGCAAAGAGCAATATAGACAAAATTAAAATATTTCAGAACAGAGTGCTCCAAGTTATTGTATAAGCACATTACAGAGATTTGAAGATGCCGATAGTCAAGATATTTGCAGGAAAACACGAAGGAAGATTCCAGGCGCAGGACAATATCGAGATCCTACAGATCATAGAAAATACAAGCCTAAAAGAATGACTCAAGAGGATTAAATCGTTTGAGCTTGTGTAGTTAGCCTTAGAGCAGAGCATAGTGAAAAACACCAAAATTGCGTGCTCATTTTATAGTCTAAAACACATCAATGGGATTATTTTAGTTAAGTAGTTGAGATTTAAGAAATTAAAATATAATTTTCCTTCGCTTGTCTTTGATATAATTACATTGTAGTTTCCTTGAAACCTACTCAGCACGTATTTTTTCTAGAGTAAACAAAATGCCCCATATTCACTGCATATCATTCCTTTTTTCCTGTTTATCAGCGAAAAAGTGAATTTAAAAATTAAAAAAAAAACGCGCTCATTTTTCTTAAGATAAAAATAGTGCAAAACAAAGTTGCTAAGGCATAGGTGAAATACTTACAGGAACAAATAAAAAGAGTATAGCTCTGACGAAGAATCAACAGGTAGGCTGTTATTATATTTCATCATTAACATAAAATATTGTTTATATAGGGGAAAACGTACGTTTTCTGAATATCGAAAATAAACTACTTTATTTTATAAAACAATGTAATTATATTTTAAAGTAATTATAATTATAATAATTCGTTTTGGTTCGTTTACCAATCAATATTTTAACATCAACAAAGCATTAATGTTCCCTCGAAATATCCCATAAATAAAATCATAAGTTTGTTTGGATATCACATTATACAACATCGCTGTCGTCGTCATATTTCTTGCATTTGAAAAAATCGTGATAATAAATAAATAAATAAAATAATATCTTTTAAAATACCGGGCGGTATTTTCTAAGAGAAAATCCAGCAATTTTATTGAGACAAAATATTCATTTAATCTTGTCTTTTATCGTCCTATTGTTTGAATTAACAAAATAGACGTTCCTCATTCTTGCATAAATATAGATCATTAGGAAGTCGAGCGATTCTTGATGATTTTTCTGTTTTGACCTATACAGGGAAGAACGTGTGTTACCCCTTCTGAATACTTTTGCAGTAATTCTATGTAAAAATAGTATCTTTTAAAATACCGGGCGGTATTTTCTAAGAGGAACTCGAGCGATTTCATTGAGACGAAATATTCATTTAATCTTGTTTGGATTAAGCAGATTAGACTTTCATTATTCTTGCATAAATATATATCATTAGGAAGTCGGTACACAAAAAAATTTATATTGTATGCTAAATATCAACGAATTAGAACAAAAAAAGACTAAAGCTGTATAAGATAGAAAAAATACCAAAACGGTTGTACGTGAAAATATCAATCTTTCCACATAGAACCTTTTATATTCTGAAAATAACAAAAATGGACCCACACAAATATCATCCTAGAGAAGGGTCAACGAATTTGCACCTTTCATAACATCAAACGCCATATGGTGCATGTACACAAATAGTCGTAGTAAGTAAGCTCGATAAATATTCTAAATGACCTACCTACACAAGACATATATATCTTAAAAAAACATATTCTCAGAATGGTATTAATTCCATTTTAAAAAGTAAGTTACTCGTCGCATACATTTCGGAATGTGGCAATTTTTGTTTACCTTATAAGTTAAGATAAGACCGATAAATGCGATGTACGGATCGTAAAATGAAAATTCGCTTGCGCAACACTCAGTGAGATCACGTCGTATACCTAAATTGGGCTGAGAGGTACACGGAAAAACTAGCGGAGAAGTAGAAACAGATGTAAAAATATCGAAAATAAATTACTATATTTAAAAAGCAAAGATCGTATTATAAAATCAGACAGAACAGTTCGTTTTTGGTTCATTTACCAATCAATACTGTATACTTAAGGTCTTCCCATCCTAAACATATATTCGTTAACATTAACAAGTTATCTTAAGTAATGTGTTCCGTCGAAATATCCCATAAATAAAGTCTTAAGTTTGTTGGGTGTCGCATTACACAGCGCATCTTCCATCGTCATATTTGTTACATTCGGCCATCCTGTATATAAGCTCAGGCTCTCTGATAAACTAAAAGGAAAAGTACCAACTTTAAAATTCCCATCATCCGTCGATCCTTTAGGTATTTGTGACACCCATTGATGACTTACATATGATTGATGGTGCTATTTGATTTACAGATGAGGAAATCCCAGAAAACCTCGCCCACCCTCATAATGATCCATTGTTCTTTTTGCGATGATTACAGAGATGCGTTGATCTCGTTGTATTGATTACAGCAATCCTTGATTTTTCGTATTAAAGATCCGTTGATCTTTTCGTCTTAGAGATTTGTTGATCTCTTCGTATTAAAGATCCGTTGATCTTTTCGTTTTAGAAATCTGTTGATCTCTTCATGTTAAAAGATTTTTGATCATCTCGTCTTAGAGATACGTATCTTTTCGTCTTATAGATACTTTGATCTCTTCGTTTTAAAGATCCTTCGATCTTTTCGTCTTGGAGATACGTTGAGGTCTTCGTTTTAAAGATCCGTCGATCTTTTCGTCTCAGTGATCCGTTAATCTCTTCGTGTCAAAAATCCGATGATCTTTTCGTCTTAGATATCCATTGATCTCTGCAGATTAAAGATCCGTTGATCTTTTCGTCTTAGAGATCCGTTGATCTCTTCATGTTAAATATCCGTTCATCTTTTCGTCTTAAGGACCGTTGATCTTTGTATTAAAGATCCGTTAATATTAGAGATCCGATGATATTTTCGTATTAAACATCCGTTGATCTTTCTTCTTAGAGATCTGTTTATATCTTCATGTTAGATCGATCGATCTTTTCGTTTTAGAGATATGTTGATATCTTTGTTTTAAAGATAGACATACTGAATTATAATTTTTCCCAAGTTTTATAGTGACATATTCATCAACATTTATGGTCGATATATCGGTATAGAGCTCAAAATATCATATCATACGATCCCTAAAAATTGACAAAAAACAAGATTTGTGCTTAAATAGATTGTTATTATCTCCCCTAGATAGATTCGAATTCGACAAAATTGTTTCTAGCTATTTTACATTTTAATAAAAACGATTTGAACAACTAAAAAATTACTTACCTAAAAATACAGGAAATATATACACGCCAGAAAGCAAAATTATTAAAATTTTAATTTTTCCATTATATTATTAGGCATTAAATCCAGCTTGTTTTTTCTCCTATTCTTCTTCTACTTGTTCGTAAAGTAAATGTATATTTTTTTCTTAATATTCACACTGTACTTCTCTCCATATTTAACTACTTTTTCATTTTCTTTTGCGAATCAACAACTGTTAAAATATTTTCCACCTCTTGTTTCTTAGACGTATCCTCTTTTTTTAGTTAGCCTCATTAATTCAATATAGAATATAGGAAATTCATTAGTAGCAATTACTTCAAGTAGCTGTTCTATTGTATTCTCTTGAAAATAAAGATCATGGGCCATTAAAAAGTTTTCATTTGCTTATTATTCCAAGACTTTGTTTAGATTTTTTCTACCAACGTAGATTGTTACTAAGTTTTGTCCATTACAAAAACTTATTTGGCTTGATAATTAAAAGAAAAAATTATAAAATCAGTCGTCTTCAAATAAATGTGTACCCTGGCATATTTTTGTACTAATCTACATTGCATTCTACTAAATTTAAATGTTGAGCGTTATTGGTCCACAGTTTTTTAGAAGTATGATCATGTGTGACATACCAGGTCTCGTTCAAATAATAAAAATATATTTTGACTTCTAAAATATTTAATTTTTTTGCAAGTAATCGTTTCGTCAATTCATCAATCTTTTTTATCCATGAGCGGAACGTTTTTGTGCAAATATTAAGATACGGCCCCCTTGACTTCAAAGTTAACATTACGGAGTCTAACGTAGGAAATTCGTTTCTCTGATAAGCATCATAAATAATTGCCCAAACCATTTTCGCCATATGCTACAGCTTTTTTTATGAGCTTTGTCTTTTCGATTTCTCCTTTCTTTCGGACCATCTTTTAAAATACGGTAAATTGTTCTTTTTTTGCGTTTTAGAACAGAATGGTTGGAGAAGTAGAAAAAACTGTTAAAAAGTCGGGATAAGAAAATGTTCTCGTCGGCACGAATGAATATTGTTAAATTGTCAAAAATATAAATCTCGTCAGATATTTCGATTACAAAATGTAGAAATGTACCTACAATTTGTTAACCCATTGATCCTTCGAAATAAAGATGAGGTGCTTAATTATATTTGCACGT